AATCTGACGTGACATGTTCGTACGAACCCTTTGTACGAACAAAAGTAAGAGAAATTTAGGATAAGAATACGAACATGTTCTTGCATGAGGCCCATTGTCCTCACATTTAAAGAGTTGTGATTTATTGCAGTTCTTTGAATCATTAGTGTTGCAGTTGACTTTAGGTCTTGAATATATTGTGCAGGTCTACAACATGCCTGCCCTGTCATCACTGAATCACAAATAAAAAAAAATTTAAATGATATATTTTCAGATTTTGTCTCAAATATAAAAGGTTAAGACATTCAGATTACTGTGCAAAAAACATTGTGATTGTGTTAGTTAATTAACATTAAAGTCAAATTACTGTCGAGTAAACATACATCATAATTTAGTCGAGTTAGTTCACCCAAGTCGTTTAAGACTTTAGGTTGTTTGTAATTTGACTGATTGAGCAGCTGTTTTGTGTGCACAGAGCTTTACAGCTCTCAGTTCAGAGTCAAAAAACAACAACAAAAGAGATTCTTTGCTTGGTAACGCTTTCTCTATGGTTCTTTTATGTCTTGCCCAAGGACTGAAAGAAAAAAAAATGTTTTGTTGGGGATCTCGCAGGTGCTTGATAGTGAGCAAAGAGAAATGAGGTAATTCAGCCCACATCTAAACTTGGCCTAGTTTTATTCAAGAACTGACAGCTGGGGAGAGTTTATCTGGACAAATCTAGTTTCATGTGTTTCAGAGTCTTGTTCTTCCACAGAGTTGTAATAATCATACTGTAGTTGTATTTTTTAGTCAAATCCTCACTTTCTCAGACAGATATTATCTTCATAGATGAACATGTTATCAAATCAAAAATTAAAAATTCTTACTCTAAAATTTTCATCTAAAATTTAGGATTTTTAATTGATGATTCTTTGTCCCTTTTTCCCCATATTCAACAGCTAGTGAAGAAGGTGAGATTTAATTTTATTTCAGGATTAGATCCTGTCTGTTCAGGCTAGAAAACGACTGGTTGATGCAATGGCTATATCTGTACTGCACTATGGGGTCATTTTATAAATGCATGCTTCTCTTAAATGTCTTTATTCAATCGACAGTTTATCATGGAGCTCTAAGATTTATAACAGATTTAAAATGTTTTACACATCACTGCACATTACACAGCCAGGTTGGATGGACAGCCTTGGTCACTCGTAAACTCCTTCATTGGCATATTTTTATTTATAAGGCCATACTAGGATTTATTCCATCATATTTGTTGGTCTGTATAAATAGAAGGTCCACCAGAGGATTATTCTCTTCATTGTGAGAATTTATTTTTACTTTCAGTGCCTAAAGTCTGAACTGAACTTGGTAATAAATCTTTCCAGTTTTCTGCTCCATCTTCTTTTCTTCCAGTTGCAGAAATACTTGAACCTGAAGGCTGTTCCTAAACCACACTGTTGATTTTGGTAAGGAATCATCTGTCTGTAAATGTTTTAACTGAGGAATCTTTTAATCACTCTATAACAGTGCTAACTTTTTCTGGTTTTGGTGTGAATGCTCTGTAACCTGTGTACTGCTGTTAGTTCTGGCCTGGATTTTCCTGCAAAAGAGATTTCTCAGTGAGATTTTCTTGGAGAAATAAAATAATAATAATAATAATAATAATA